TGCCATTGCACTCCAGCCTGGGTGACAAGAGCAAGACTTCGTCCCAAAAAAAAAAAAAAAAAAGTTGCCTGAAGCACTGCCTGCTTCTCTGTTGGGGCAGAACGGGCTTTGGGTGCTGCTCTAAGTTTACTTATTGGTATTTTTTTCACATTGAAAAAAAAAATAGAGACAGTCTCACCCTCTCTCAAAATAAAATGTCTTGACATGAACAAGATTATGTGAAACTCAGACTTATCGGGTACAGCCACATGGAATCATTTACATACTGTCTGTGGCTGATTTTGCATTAGAACTGTGGCAGAGTTGAGCAGTTACAACCAAGTCCTTACGTTTGACGTAACCAAGAATGTTTGCTATCTAGCCCTTTCCAGAAAGTTTGTTGACCCTGTTCTAGAAGATTATCCCTTGCCTGTGCAGATCTTCGGTACCACCCTCCACACCCATGAGGATCTTAAAGGTCTTTATTTTTGTTTTTGTTTTTATTTTTGAGATGGAGCCTTGCTCTGTAATCCCGGCTGGAGTGCAATGGCACAATCTCAGCTCACTGCAACCTCCGCCTTCCTGGGTCCAGCGATTCTCCTGCCTCACCCTCCCAACTAGCTGGCATTACAGGTGCCCGCCACCACACCTGGCTAATTTTTGTATTTTCAGTAGACTGAGTTTCACCGTGTTGGCCATGCTGATCTCAAACTCATTACCTCATGTGATCCACCCACCTTGGCCTCCCAAAATACTGGGATTACAGGCGTGAGCCACCGCGCCCGGCCAGAAGTCTTCATTTTGGATATAGTTAAGACCCTTGTGTTCTGCATTTATGGATTATGCTTGGAGGAATTTTTTAAAGAACCTTAACTAGGCATATTGACTCATACCTGTAATCTCAGCACTTTGGTGGGAAAATTGCTTGAGTCTAGGAGTTCAGGGTCAGACTATGCAACATAGTAAGATCCTCATCTCTACAAAATACAAAAGTTAGCCAGGCATGATGTTGTGTGCCTGTAATCCCAGCTACTTGGGAGGCTGAAGTGGGAGGATTGCTTGAGCCCAGGGGTTGGAAGCTGTAGTGAGCTGTGATCGTGGTGCTGTACTCCAGCCTGGACAGCAGAGTGAGACCCTGTCACTGAATGAATGAATATGAAGGAATGAATATGAATGAATGAATGAATCTTTCCCCTTCCTGAGTCCCTGATACTCTGCTACATTATACCCCTTTAGCTTTGTAATTGTACCTTCATCTTAATCCTTCACAATTTTTTTTTTTTTTTTTTTTGAGACGGATTCTCCCTCTTTTGCCAGGCTGGAATACTGTGGTGCCATCTTGGCTCACTGCAAACTTCGACTCCCCCAGGTTCAAGCGATTCTCCTGCCTCAGCCTCCTGAGTAGCTGGGATTACAGATACATGCAACCATGCCCAGCTAATTTTTATATTTTTAGTCGAGATGGGGTTTCACCATGTTGGCCAGGATGGTCTTGATCTCCTGACCTTGTGATCTGCCCGCCTCGGCCTCCCAAAGTGCTGGGTTTACAGCTGGTGAGCCATCACGCCCGGCCCACAATTTCTTTCTTGTGTATAGTATGAGATAGAGATCCAGCTTGACTTTTCTCATGTAAAGTAAGCTGCTTCTCCCAAAACCACTCCACAGAATCCACCCTTTCCCACTGACTTGTGGAAACCCCCTCTGTCTTACCCTCAGTGCCCAAAGATTGGAGCCTGTGCTGGGCTGTCTTCTCTGACCCATTGGTCCATTTGTTAATGCAAAAATGCCCTGCTGTTCTGATGGTTGTGGCTTTGAAATATGTTTTACTCTCTCACAGACCGACTACTCCCTTGCCCTTGTTTTGTAGAATTGTCTTAGCTCATCACTGGACTTTAGTTCTTTTGTGTAAATGTTGGTGTCAGCTGGCCCCATTCCCCAGTGGGATAACAATAATAAGTATGATCAATTTTATTACTTGTTGTTATTCTAGCATTCCATGTCTAACCTTGAACTCCTTAGACTGGAAGGGGCCATCCCAGGTTTTGAAGTCACTTCCTGCGTTTCTGTTGGGGCAGAATGGGCTTTAGTTTTACTCTAGTTTCTTTGGTTTTATTTTTTTCACTTTTCTTTTTTTTTTTTGAGATGGAGTCTCACTCTTTCACCCAGGCTGGAGTGCAGTGGTGTGACCTCGGCTCGCTGTAACCTCTACCTCCTGGGTTCAAGCAATTCTTCTGGATTGCAGGCACACGCCACCACACCCAGCTAATTTTTGTATTTTTAGTAGAGCCGAGGTTTCACCATGTTGATCAGGCTGGTCTCAAACCCTGAGCTCAGGTGATCCGCCTGCCTCTGCCTCCCGAAGTGCTGGGATTACAGGTATGAACCACCGTACCCAGCCCTTTTTTTTTTTTTTTTTTTTTTTTTTTTTT